CGTGCAGTAGAAGCCTCCCGAAAGATAATACAAGAATAAATAAGTAATAAATAAGTAAATTCACAATTAAACAGAACAATTTCAAAAAAGTAAAATGAATTCTCTTTTATACTTATTTTGAAGTAATCTAATGTTCTGAAGAAGACTCTAAATTTAATTTTATACCATAAGGTACTACACGCACGGTCGTATGACAGAACTGATTGAACAAATTATTAGTTTCAAATTTCGTGGATCAATTTTCTCGTTTACACATGTTCTATGTTCCACTCGTAACTATGTACCATTAAAATAGTTACAATTCACTGTTCACGACTAAATATTACAGTATGGTATTTTCAATACATGATCCTCCGATTATTTTCTTAGCTCAATTTATAATGACTCATTTACGATCAAATATTCAATTCTTTAAACGGACAAGCGCTAAAACCATCAGATGAATCCGATGACGCCGGGTGTAGTAAACGAGCCAGACATTATCAAGAGGAAAATTCTAGCGGTCGGCTGCTCTAATCGGTGAATTTCCCTAGTTTCTCTGATCTATACCAGCCGAATACCGGAGCAGTGCCTAAATAAACGGGCCGCGAACCACGCGCTATATTTCCTTCCTTATCTTTTCTCTTCCTCTCCGCTTACAACACTCACAACATTATCACATGTCAGGAGATCAATCGGGCGATTAAAGCTTACCCCATCAATGGGGATTCCCCGCTGACGGAGACAACTGGAGGGGGAACTGCGCAGGCTAACATGCAGGTCAGAGTCGGACCTCACGCACTGGCAGGGGGGAACACCGCCACTCTTTGGGATTTAACAAACACAACACGTACAGACCTAATCAATGACTCTCCAACGACCATCAAGTGACGCGCCAACCAAACAATCAATAAATGAGTGGCATGCCATGAATGCGCAGCTTGCCGCCCGCCCTGGAGGGGGCGGAGGACGCGGACGCGCTCCAGCACGAGCGGGAGGCCCTGGAGCACTTCGACGCCGCGCACGCCGCCACCGGCGCCTGCCACCAGCGCTTCCCGCAGTGCAGCGCGTCGCTCTTCGAGCTGTGGAGCGGCCAGCCCCTCGCTGCCCGCGACGGCCCCCTCTGACGCCGCCACCAACTCGCGCTCTCCTTTTCTCTACCCTTACAGTACAAACTCCACAACTTTACACTTCAATCGTCTCAAAAAGATCTTATTTGGTAGAATCATTCCCATAGAATGCCCTTTGTAGGGTTCATGGATAGCATACGAGGTTTGTGTGAGGCAGCCCCGGGGTTCAATATACGGTCAGCGGAAAAATGATGCTGTGAATTTCTAATACAAATCGTCTCGGTTTCTATAGCTGTGTGACGAACGAAAAAAGCTCAGGGAGGCCAAGTAAGCTAGGTACGGTGAAAGGAATAGGTCGTGCTCGCCACATCTCTCCCTTACTCCCAGGCCTGAAAAAAAAGGAGCCAGGTCTGGGAACACCTCTAGCTGGTCGATTAATATGTTCTTAAAATGCCAAAAATATAATACATTATTATAGAATCTGTATTAAAGCTTTCAATATTGCAACACATTTAGGCCAATCTGTAATTAATTTCATAGTTATAAATGCATTAATCAATATGTCTTCGAACATGTTTGGGAACTTATATAATGATTTTGATAAATTTTGTTTAATGCTTGATTGCAAAATCACATCCAAACAGAGAAATTCCATTTTATGATCGATTATGGGTAACTAGAAGGAACTTCCTGGAAGTATCCTTGCCTCGAAGAAGTATTTAGTCTTTCTACTTGCCTTTAGTATTAAATTCAATTACACCAATCAAAGGTGCTTTCATTTGCATGCACGATGTTTCCTATTACAGTTAAGTATCGGACACAATATGTCAGTAAGAGAAAAAATGAATAAACGTTTCTTACTAAGTATATGTACGTTGTTATTATTCACCAAGCCCTTCCCACTGTATTCAACAATTCAGATCAATATCATGTACTTCATGTAAAACACCCAGCGAAAACGAAATTACTCAGATGTATAAACCGAAAGTGTACGCAAATCAACCGCGTTAGTGTATTGCTAATGAAATATTTTTACGTTTTAATTTTAAATTGAAATGTAGCAAGATTATTTCGCGTCATATACATTGTCTTTGGTGGTGGAAAATTTATGACACCAAATGTAAAAAGATCCTTTCAAACAAACCAAATGGATAGCAATATCAATAATATGCTTTGAAAGCAAGTTACACCACACACAGTTTATGCAATTTCACATTACCAATTTATTAATTTTTGAAGCAATGGATTATTTTTCAACTTAGCAAATTCTGTTTTTTTATGTGTTGAGAAATTCAGAATTTATTCTGATGTATTAGATCAAATTATTCTACGAAGTTAATACGTCAATTTACTGTGAATATGTTTTTGGTCGAATATAAGTTGCTGAATTCCTGCAAAAAGAATTATATGAGAATGCAGAAGAAATTTCAGAAAGGCAAACAATTAAGTTCTATTTGTAGATAAAGGAAGGGTGGAAGAAAAATAAAATTGCGGGGACTGGAATTTTTTGCATGTATTGCTCTGCCTTTTGTGCGTTTTCTAGTTTTTCTTGAAGTAAAGCACTTTGGTACCAACTTCTTCATAAATTCATTGAATAGTCCATTTAAATTGCGACAATCAAGAAATATACATTGTTTGAAAAATGTCGTGAATACAACCCTAATATTTTGAAGAAGAAAAGACTCCTGGGCTACATTTAGAATCTCAGATTCCTTGGTGCTGATCAACTAAAATAAATTTAATGGAAAAAAATTATTTATTCTGGATTCGGATTTTACGCCATAAATGGAGAACTTTCGTCTGGATTTTTTTATTTGTAATAAATAACGATTCAAAAAATAAGTTATCTCTGGTTTAGTTTTGAGTTTTATAAAAGAATGTGCAATGAACAACACCGTTTATTCGTAAAAGTTCTTGTTACTCAATCAGTCTCAATCTTAAATGAAGCTCTTCACATATTTCTTATGCAGGTAAGGAAATTCTAAGATCAACTATTTTTACTTACAATAATTTATTTTGGTTCTCTTGACCTACCGGTTTACAACATATGTTGTGTGGATGAAGTGTATTGGCTTTTTCATTCATGCACGCAAAATGCACTATTGGTAATTTGAAAACTACTAGCATGGGTGAAACACCATTTTATTAATTACAATTTATTTGAAAAGTGGAGCTAATAAAGTAGCTTGAATCAAAATGTGACATTAGTCTGGAAAAAGTGACGCTATGAGTGTGTAATATCCTCAAATTCTAGTTCCAAGATTTATGGATGTCACTATCACAGAAATAGTATTCGAATATAAAAATACGAACGCAGATGAACATTGTAATAAAATGGAACCGCACTGCAATTATTAGAATAAGAAAACAATATTAGTTTAAAAATTTGATAACTTAAAATGTTCTCAGAAGCAAAATTAAGTCATCATGTATATTCCTAAAGAGAAAAAGAATAAAATGTTAATACCGTTACAACCTGTATGAATATGTTCCCTGTTATATGCTTCACAACTGGAAGTCGCTTTCGTAATTCAGTTTACCTTGATGATGTGATGTCGTGACGATAAGCGAATCCTTGGGCTGCCGCCGCCCCTCACGACGTCACAATGAGCACTGATTCCATCACGAACTTTTCTTGGCGACATTTTTTATCTCAAAATTCTTTTCTCAACGAAGTATTTAACTTCAAAAGAGTTCTAACAGCAAAGGAAGCATAAATACTTCTCTTAAAGCACTTCTCTTAAATCACTTTTGAATAGCACTTCCTGTGCATGATTTTTGAAAGAAAATAATTTAAATCCTTGAAATAGAGGGTTAATAATCTCCATTTCGAACATTCTCCCTTCATCCACACCGTTCAGTTAGAGAAGATTCAATGTATTGCTACTGGGAAATAAAGGTATATTCTTTTTTCCTTTCAAATTTAAAACACGGACGTTCTCGTGCACTACTTATTATGATTAGTGTATCCGGACGCGTCATCTGCTAAGCTTATTAGTCACATAATTGTAGTGCATTATTTTATCGCGGCAGGTGCCGCTGAACCTCCCCTACAGGAAGGCGAGATCCGGCATCCACCTTTTTTGACGCGTCGGATAGAAAGGATTTTCCCAACCAGATATCTCTCACCAGCAGGGCACCTCCCCACTCGGGTCAAGATCTAAATTTCCGACTGGTGTGGTAGTATGCAAGTGTGTAAGCAAGTGTGCATGCAAGTGTCTGGAAGTGAGAGATGGGGCTAGAGCAAGAAAGAGGAAGGAAAAAAACGCGCGCGGTGTGTAGACCGTTTATTAAGGTACTGTTCCGGCATTCGCGCAGCAGTAATGAAAGAAACCACGGAAAACTACCGATCAGTGCAGCCGGTCGCTAGGTTACTCCTCCAGACAGTGACTGAACTCTACCTAGCTATCTAACCAATGTCGAAAATCCTGGCCTGATCAGCTTGAATCTACGACCAACCGGTCAGAGGACCTACAATGACATCAGTTGATGAACTAGGCCACCTCTCCCGGCTTCACGGAGGAATGATCGCGTGTGGTCCACGGCACGTTTGTTAGGGTACTGCTCCGGCATTCGCCGGAGTTTATGTTATTCAGGGGAGATCGACGGAAAAACGACCATCCAGAGTACTGCTGCTAGAACCCCTCCAGACAGTGGCAGTTCGCGACTTAGCTATCTACCTAATGTCAAAAACCCTGCCACCGTCGGCCACGAACCAAAGACCTCCGCGTCAGAGGCGCTGCAGTGAGATCAACTACTGTCCTCAGCCGCTAGCATGCATCAGCTCGTCGCACAGCGGGCGTCGTTCTGCGGCAACAACAGTTGCTTCCGTGACCGGTCACTTGGCGAGCGGCGCGACGGGCGGGCGATGACGCGCCGCGGAGGCGTCGGCGCTCTCGCTCTTGCGGCCGTTGCGGCGCCGCCAGGCCGGCGCCATTCGCGACCGGGCGCATGCACCCGCCCACGTGCGCGCCTCCTCAGGGCACGTTCCTGCTGCTGTTGATGGGCAAGGGGACTCCGACGCAAAGCACCTCGCGCGCGCAGGCGATACATCGTTTCCTGAAGGCGCTTCTTTGCAGGTACGGTGGTCCCGCAGGACTCTTGTTCCACGACAAGAAACCACTTGTATAATTGAATATTGAAATTGTTTTGAGATGGAAGGATTAAGAATGAGTAAGATTGATGTAATTAGTATAGGGATACATTACAATGGCATTACTAATGACGAGAGAAAATCATAACTAAAAGAATATATTTTATGTAGTTCATTAACTTCCCCATTATTTATCAATTTGTTAATCCATATAAAATTGTAATTATAAGATTCGACACAATGTCTTCCATCACAAACATGTTGGAATACACATCCACTCTCTGCAGAATGTAAATAAAGCTCTTCTTGACTTACTGGTACATAAAACTAATACATCAATTATTTTATCACATCAATCTGGTATTCTAAGAAGACGTTATGTCTCAATAGAGATGCATTTGAACGTTTTAATTTTAAAAATAAACTCGAGTAATGCTCTTGGTTTAAGATCACTTTTCATATGATTTCGCGTATCTTACGAAAAATATATATTTAAAGATGTAGCGTGAAAGAATTGCCACACTTCTTGAGTGCCATGGGAGCACCTCTAACAGGATTAATTTCAATATGCAGAGGAACTTTGATACAGAGTTTCACAAGTAGTTCGTGAATGTGCTTCAAGCCATGTGGAACACATTGTTTCAATTTACAACACTAAATATTTTCTGTTTGAATTTATTATTTAATTGACCTGATTCACTGAAGATTCGCTTGAATCTGCAACATAATTCGAGCACGGAGTAAGACTAACTTTTGGGTCTTTTCAAAACTCGATTACGTGGAACATTATTAATAAGTATTTTATGTGGACCGCAAAACAGACAATAATTTCTTATTTTAAAACAATATGCTCTCAAAGTTCAAACACCAAGTTACATAATAATTTAGATTAGATTTTTAGATTTCGATGTAAATAAACGAGGGAAAAGCATTTCATATACATGATTAGTAAAGCATATATTTTAATGAGTTTCGATGTTGACGCATACAAGGCACGTTAAAGCATACTTGGCCCAAAAAGTTGGAATCTATGGCATGCTTTACAAAACACCCGAAGGCTACTAAGTTATTGACGCCAACAAAATTATTGTAGGGGTGGGGATGATATTAAAAATGTAGAGTTAATTTAATTTACTGAATTCCCCCCCCCCCAAATACAATATTTCTGAATTTTGTTGTGCGTACTTATTATTCAATTTGTCTGCTCTGTCGAAGCGAGGAGTAATTATATTTTTGTTTGAACAGTTGGTGTTCGAAATGGCGGTGCCCACAGTCAACCTACGACCTCGCCCTTTCATCATGTCGTGGACGATCGGCACGGCGTGGGAGCTACCCGGGGACGCCAGCCAAATCGTGGAAAAGTTCAAGCTCCCGAAAATGAAGGAACCTCCCCCGCCTCCGCCAACCACCATGCCACCAGACTACCACTTCCACCACCACGACTGGGACTACCACGACAATCTGGCGATGGGCCCACCTACTCAAATGGAGTACACGAAAAAGCAGAAAGGAGCGGACAGCAAAGTGTACTACGAGACGTACACAAAGAAAAAACCCTATTCGTACAAAGGATATTACTACAAGGGCTACCCAGGCTACTCGTCGCCACATGAAGTGCGACTACACCGTCGTCACCGAAGAGATGCTTTTCTGACCATGGAGTCAGTACTGCTCTCGTGAGAAAACATTCCTTTTTATTTTTTGTTTTCAACACCAAAAAATGATAATGATTTATTAATTATTTAATGTTTAATATCAAGAGATAAATTAAGTTTGATATTACATATTACATACACATTCATATAACAGGAGTTTAACAGATTAATTCATCCGGATAACGAAGCTCTCTATATTGAAAAAAAAAAAACTTTACTAGTTATTCACATTTAATATTGGCATGCATTTTAACAGCTATGATATAAACACTACTTTTTGAGTTTAATTTATTGTGAAAAAATTAACTCATTTTGACAATGTTACATTTTTTCTAATGTGTATTTGGATTAGTATGTATTAACTATAAGGGGACAATGCTTACAATTTCATGCAAACGTCAGTTGAAAAACATTAAGATTTAAATATTTGTATATTATTACTTATACCCCCTTATTAAAAGAATAAGGGGGTATTGTGTTCGAGTTGTAAGTTTCCAATATAACTTTAACTGTTTTCTTCTTCTTTAAATTAAATTAAGTTCAATTATATTCTACAGATCAAAACGGAGAGTTCGCATATAACATTTTTAACAACTCAGTGATACATACATTCATTAACAATTACCACTGATTGAATCCGTATAGTTGCTGAAAGTATTATTATTATTATTATTATTATTATTATTATTATTATTATTATTATTATTATTATTATTTCTCTACATCAAGACTCGGCTGAGTATAAAATCTACTCCAGGTTGCTACCAGGTACCTAAGGAAAAGATCTAGCGACGAGACTGATATTTATTATTATTATTATTATTATTATTACAATTATTATTACTATTGTTATTACTATTACTATTGTTATTACTATTACTATTATTATTATTATTATTGTTGTTGTTGCCGGAGAATTGGGGGTAATCATCTTCACAGCATTCATGAACATGAGCGTAGTGTGAACGCGTGCCCGTGATCCGAGGTGGCGAGTTCCCCCCCAAGCGTGTGTGTGGCGTGCGCAGGACGGGTCTGGGCGGGCGCGCGTGCGTGCTGCGGGCGCTGTGCGAGGCCGGGCAGCGGCGCGACGGCAGCGCCAAGAGCAGCTTCCTCACGGAGCTCCTGCACGTCCTCTTCACGTACGTTTTCACGGCAACGTCCACGCCCTGGACGCACGTTTATTACGGCCTGCGAGTGCGAACAATTTTCTCTTTGGATTTTATATGCATCGGGCTCTTCCATTTACCACTTACGTAGTGTAGAGAAAGTATTCCAATACTGCTACAAAATATTAAATAACGCCATTTTTCGATAGAAAAATTCATGGTGTGATACCGTGATTTCGGATAAATATTTCTCCAGTAACTATCTTCCTTTAACAGGTTGTGTACTGTCCAATTGAAATGTTGGGTCCCCTCAAGAATACAAGTGGGAAGGAGAGTGAGACCTTGTCATCCAGTCGGGAGCTTCAATACCAAAAATTGAGGAGATTCTAAACTGAAATCGGACAATAGAATCCACGTTCTGTTCTCCTTGATATTGATAGAAAAGTATTAATTGGTTTTAAATGGGCCCACGATTTTCTTCAGAAATAAATCGCGGAAATTAGTTCAACTTCATTTTATCCTATTATTTGCATGTTCTCAAAAATAAAAGACCTCTTTTTGCAGATTGCCACCAGATTTGGAGAACGGAAAGGATGTAAGTGAAGAACACAGCGACGTTTTACAACATTACGACGCTGCCCACGCGGCTTCCGGCGACTGCGGTTCGCTCTATTCTGATTGCTCCACGTCACTCTTCGCCCTCTGGGCGCCTGACGGCAGCCTGTAAAGCCACTCTGTCGGAGAGTATTTATCTCATCAACTCAATATTACGGTCAAGTGAATATCAAAGTTATGTTCCTGGAAGTGTAAAGGCTGATGTGCTGTGAAATGTAAAGTAATGTTGGAAGAAATATAAATGCTTGTGATAGAAAATACCAACAGTTGGTCCATTACATTGCGATTAAAATAACAAACAAATTAAAAGGATTGGTGTATCAGATACCGTAATGAACTGTCTCAGAGAAATGTATTCCAGTGTGCCGATTATAAATAATAAAAAAATTGATAAGTATGAAAAACTAATGTGTTTTTTTCCTAATATATTCCTTATAATATATTTTTTCCCTATAATATATCTTTTTAGGTAGAATTGGAAGAAGGTGAAGAAATTCTAAATACATTTTTCGTATTTAAATTAAACAATATTTCATACAATTTCCCTTGGTTGTTCCAAACTCAAGTTCAAGATTTTTTGATTCTTTTGACATTGTTGAATAATTATTCCCTTTATATAATTCGCTAATGAAAGTTTACATTTGTTACAGTTTATTACAAGTCATCAACGCAAAACCTTGTACGTGTATCTTATAAGTGAACTACTTCTGGATAAAGTATTACCCCATGTATCTATGGAGGCCAAGATGGCAAATTAGGCACACATTCAAACCACAACACCCATTACTCTAGCTATTTCATCGGAAACGATGCTTCCGGAGGTCTTATTTTAAGGTTATCTAAACCTTCTTAAAACGTATTCAGGAATATAAGTTTATTTAATAAGTTGTATTTAAACTGAAATATTTTCACTTTTGAAACAATTATTTAGAACGTGCTATTTTGCGGAATTTACAATTTTTTTGCAAAAATTATTCGATTTTTTGTATTACATTTTTATTGTTTTCTCTTTTCGAGGTACTCTAGCTATATAGAACATCCCGGTTTATCCATTATGGAGCCAGTACATTTTTTGTTCGTACAGTATATTGTACAGTTTAATTTCCTTATTGACATGTTTGGGAACACGTGGTGATGCGAGGGAACGAGTGGGAAACATGTGGGGATGTCGAGTATGAGGGAATGTGTGAGGGAACATATGAGGAACATTCCGAAGAGAAAATGCAGTAAAAAATACTTAGAGTATGTGTTAAAACAATTTCATATTCGTTCTTAAATTCTATTTACATTGATTATTTACGGCCTAGCGTACAAAATAGGGGGGTCATACGAGAAACATACGGGACAACGTGTGGTACATGCAGAAAACGTGCGAAGGTACATGAAGTGAATGGAGGCTGAGAGAAAATATGAAAACATGTGAGGAATTTGTGAAGCAACATGCCGAGAACGTGCGACAAACATGCAGGGTAGCGCCCGTGGATCAGGTCTTAAGCAGTATTCTACAAAATTCCTTTCTTAACATTGTTACTGTTTTAAGAATCAGATCGTCTGGATATTCCCACTCCATAGCAAGCATGTGTGGCCAGGCGATCGAAATTAATGTAAAATTAAAATGATTAGTCAATAAGCTCTTTTTAATGAGTACAGCTTAGGAACAGCACGTTCAAAGCTGGAATCCAGTATGAAGATATTATCACTTAAAAAAACTAATCTACAAAGCGCGGAATATTCATTCGGATCCAGCTATTGTTATGGAAATCACACGTTGTTTGTAATAATGACTTACGAAAAATATTAGGCGAATCGTATAGTTCTATTACGATAGACATGTATCAAATGATTCACAAAAAATCACTCAAGCTGCTTACTGTTGCACAACTCCGTTGATATAAAGCAATAGGAAATATGAACTCTAAAAAGAAGAAACATGAGAGTAATCAACAATGATGTCTGCCGAGCTTCTGCAAGTCATTTACAAGCTGGTCACGCATAGACTTCTGCGTGTCACTAAGACATGAGTGAACGACGAACAGGGCGTGCGTGGCATATGCAATGTAAACGGTGCCGTCCGCGACCGTCCTTCCCGATCGTCGCTAAAGTCATTTTAGTAGAAACAAGGAACGAACACGATGTAGCTTAGTTGGCGGATAGGTTGGGTGTCGAACGAACTTGCGAATGCGATGGTAGAGAAAATGTGAAAAAGTGTTAAATAACATAAACCGATATTTTAGTGATTCCAGAGTGTCTAGCAAACTGCTGTTCGACTTAATGCTAATTAACTAGTAATTGGATGTAATATATAATACGCGCGTGAACGAAGTTTATTAAAATTCGTCACAATGAAGAAAGAATTATGTTTACAAGTTTTCTTAGCGTTTGCACTGGCAACATTGCTGAGTCAAACATGCCAAGCTAGAGTTTTGTCGAGAAAACGTAGATATCTCATTTTTCCAAAAGGAAGCAACTTCATTGTAAGTAATTGTTTTCTCTTGCTTCATTCATGTTAATAAATGTTCATTATTTCATGTCAAATTACCATAATTCAGTTAACAAGTATTACTTATATTTTTTCTGTAATTTATTTCTTAAATAGGGTATGAGAGGCCACTCCAAATAATATTTTTTAGTATCATTTCCCAATAAAAAGTCAATTTAAAAAGATAAAATTATAGAGAGAGAGACTTTTATTATTGTAATGTGCCTGTTTATCGATCTAAAAACATTAATGATGAATATCAAAAATTCCTTGAACAGGCAGGGACTGAGGTAAAAGTCACTAAACTTTAGTTCTTTGAAATACTATTCAATCACTTTTTTCTTTTCCGTGAATTGTCTTCTATTATTACTGACCTAACAATTGTATCTGTGATGTCAGAAGGTCAACGCATTTCGTTCCGTGACTTAAAGGTTAGGACTGATTTGAACATAGATTGTAACACATAAAAATCATTTTGCATTTAAAGATATTTATTTTTTATCGTGTGGTTACATCGGCAAACCCTAGATTAGTATAAAACATATTTGATGGAACTAGAAGATTAATTTAAGTCTATATCTTTCGAAATAGTTTTTAACATAAAATCATAGTTTTTCTTTCTAATTAATATACTACATTCTCTGCACTTTCAATGAAAATACAGTAGTCCAACTGTGATCTTAAATGTGAGCTACAATTAACATAAGTGGAATACCCATAATACGAGGTAATTTTTCCAAAATATATCGGAACTTTGTAATTTATGTTTTATTAAAACGTAAGTTTTATCTAACGTCCCAATAACTGAATGGTGGATATGTTCCCTTGTAACAAATGACGGTCGTTGCGCGCGGCAGGTGATGCTGACGCAGACGCGCACGCTGCCGTTCGCGAAGACGCCGCCTTGGTTCACGCGCCTGCTGCCCATCTGGCAGGGCCTCATCGAGTTTGAGCTGCGCTTTCCGCTGCCGCCCGATTCGCTCCGGAAGCTCTCCTCCCCTCCGCCTGCGCCCGCGCCCTCGCCCACGCCCTCGCCCACCTACTACCCCTTCTGGCCGACCCCTCCCCAAGCAGTGCTGCCCACCCCAGTGGCGGGGAGATTCCATTGGGAAGAAGAAGCGCCTCACGAGCTGCCGTTTGACTGGCAATACCCTGCGCTAAGGAGAAAGTGGGATCATTTCCGAGCGGAGGCTCCGGCTGAAAGATGGCACAGCAACCGCCACCGACGAGACCGCCGACGCCTGCACAGAGCTGTCGCCGACTTGCTGCACGCGTAAGTCGCCTGCATTTATCAAATCCTTGAGCAAATTCTAAAAAACCAAACTAACGTTCGTTTTACAACTGATCTTAAATAAATACTTAAATAAACCATTCTTAATTCGCACACATTTTTCATTAAGGTAAGCTACCGTGGAGTATGAAGTCTTGCGAGTCCGTAACTAAAGATTCTTAGACCTGGAGGTCCTAGATGCGAGTCCCGACGATGGTAAAATTATCAGCACCGCTAAAATGCTAGTTCGAAGCTTACTATTGTCTGGTCGAAAATTCTAAAGCCAGGCAGCTATAAACGATATTTTCATTATATTTTTATTCAACACCAAGAGGAGACCGGCACAGTTCACTGAACAGGCCACAGTGGATCTCTCCTTCCCGATCCTGTCATTACAATCTTAAGAGCCAAGCTACGAGCTGATCCAATCCTCATTTAGGTCATATTTCGTAACCCCCACTGATAGAGAGAATTGCCGAGAAGCATGAAATATACATAAAGCAATTATCTACAAATCTTCCAACATTTATGCGAGTGTTAATGGAACGACCGAAATGGTAATCGTGGTCATTAGCGCAGTCAATAAATCTTTTCACCTTGCAAAAGGTGAGGTAAAAGATTTAATTTATTTTATTTTGTTTATATTGTTATTAGTAAGAAAATATTGACTTTTCCACCTAGAAATACTACTGAAAAAGTTTTGGCACCCCAAAACACGAAAGTTTTGGGCATTTTGCACGCGAGAATTACTTAAGTAATAAAATTAGTATTTATTTGATTTTTATTTGTAACGACCTTACGAACTCAAAAATATTACATAGAGAGGACATTAGTAATTTGGAGTACCTTCAGAATAAAGAGAAAAATTAAGTGAAATTATATAATATTGTAGATCTTATACTCTTTGCTTGTGAAAAAAATATGAATCAAATTTATACAAACCATTGTGACCTTTAAAATTGTACATAACCATTTTTGCACTAAGAATATTAGAAAATTATCACGCAAAAAAAGCCCACAAATATCGTGTGTTTTTGGCTGCAAAAACCTTCCCCATCGTACTTCAAGGTGGAAAACCTAATGTTTTCTTCTTACTAATAACAATGTAAACAAAATAAAAAATGAAAGGTACCTCACCTTTTACAAGATGGACCTACGTTCTCTGTCTTTAAAAAAACATTAAAATATATCCCCACGTCCAAACGACTTTATAATAATAATTCCATTGTAATATTCTCAATAATATTTATTTTATAAAATATATGCACCTACAGGTGTGTTTTTAAATTTTATGACCGACCTAGCAAATCCAAACTCCAAACTGTGCAGTTTCGGTGAGTTCATTAAATATATTTACCATAGAAGTTGTAAATGTCTGTGACTCACATGTGATTCACGGACTACCAACATCACAGAGTGTTACGATTTGTGAACCACACACAGCTTACAGAACAGTGAATGTGACAGGACTCACAGGACAGTGAACGTGTTAAGGCTCCCCATTGACCGCACTACATCCTAAAGAAAGTTTATCGCGTTCGCAGGGACGGGTTGGACGGCGCGGCATGCGTACGCAGAGCGCGTTGCGAGGCGGCTCTCTCTGCCGCCAAGAAAATGGACGAAGCAGCGCCAGCAGCAGCGGAAGAAGGAGATTTCGAAGAAGAAGAAGAAAAACAAGAAGAAGAAGAAGAGAGGTCTATTTTTGATGACTTTCTGCGCCTAATATTCATGTAAGTAGCATCGACACGAGACAGAAGTAACACTATCGAAATATGCCAATGTTTAAAAAACAAACATGTTTGCATATTTTAAAGCAATAAAGGATGTGCGTAAATGAGCGTATACATAACATTGTATTTATAAGAAATACGCTGATTTAAGCAGATAGATGGTTGCACTTTTGTAATAAACAAGTGCCCAATTGTAAGTAATATCAGAGTTTGTACGTACTCATAGAAATTTTGGATTTGAAGTTCCTGATGCTTTTCAGGTAAGGCCTACCAGAAAATGATGAATATTGAATATTACATTCTAATATTTAATAAAAATATTAATAGAATATTGTATATTTGAGAACTATTAAATCATAAGTGGTATTGTCAATGTTAACTAGAACTTCGAGTATTCTTTTATATAGGTCTCGTAGAGTATTCGTGACTATCTTAGCGTAAATAAATTAGCATAGGCGCCATCAATTCGTTAAGTAAGTATGTTATCAAGTAATAAATAAAGATTGCAAAAATATCAAATTATTGGTTTTTATATTCAAGAAACATGCAACGTCCTTAGAGCTTAGAATCACGTTGTACCCCGAGGTTAGCACTGACCCCGTTACGCAAGGCGATCGGTCTTATTGAACTCCTTTAACCACCAGTTCTGATACGATCATATACGAAACGTGTCACTGATACAAACATTTACCACATAATGAGCAAACAAATTCGTATTGATATACCCTAAATTAATATTAGAATGAGAGAATGAGGTAAAGAAAATGGAAAGTTAATTATTTTCAAGACATTATTTCCCTGGATTGCTAATTTCATTACTGAGCTCAGTTTTATTCCATCACATATAAGTTTTCTGAACACAGCATATTTTCAGCTATTTGGAATTTGTCTCATGAGGTTATTTAGGGTATTTAATTAAATAAGAACATGTGTTGTGGAAAACATTGCTCATAAATTTTCAACATAAACCCTTATCCACAATCTTGGCATCTTGCATTTTCTATGTAACTACGTATGATGCTGATATAGAAAAATGTAATTACATACATATTATAACTACTTTGTTTTGGAGAAACGTTAAACGATTTATGGAGAAATAGAGGTATTTTCATAATATTAAATTAGAGAATTACTATGTGAAAATATTAAATATTGAATTTAACATTACATTTCTTTTTTTACAGCATGCCGCCCGAAAACAAAACTACAACGGAAAATTGCGCAGATTTAAAAGAAGACTGTCCTTTTTCTCTTTTGGAAGCTTTTGATTTTGAATTTCCATGACTACAAACACAACAAATGAATGTAATATTGCCGTAAAATCGGACACATTTTGCCGAATATTTTTAAGAGAAAATATCACAATAAATGCTATTATAAACGGGTTTAATTTTACATGTAGTAAATGATAAATAAATAGTTGGAGCGAACAAAAATGAGGTATGCTCAGTTAATATTCGGCGTATGTGTACGTGCACCTAAATCACGCGTGACCCAATGCCTCGATTTGCTGAAAACCGTAACTCTAAAGATTAAGATGATCTATTAAATGTAAATGTGCATTTAATAGTTATTGAAGTTAAAACAATTTTTCATTTCACAAATGTACTTGTTTACTATTGAAAGTAAACGTGTAGCCTATTAACATAACCTCAACTTATTGACTTGATATCTTTTTTAATTTATCACAATCCACGTTAGGAACACTTAAAATATTCACATGACCAATATTACACTTTCCCTCAAAGATGCATTTTTGAAGTGTGAAATAGATCAACCCCAAAAACATTTTCTTCCTACCAATACAGAAGACAAAATATATATCTCCTACGACATTGACATTTGCAACAAAAATACTGCACTGCGTTGCGTGTGTCTGCGGTGACAACTGACTATCTGTATAACTGTTTTATTGTCGTCTCAAAACTTGGAGCGCATTCTGGAAGTGAGACAGGACAGTCCGCTGCCCTACGAACTGTCTTCACGCTGTCCTCAAATGTACACGCAACGCCAGTTTGGCTTCGAGTAAACGATGCATTACAGGCGTGCAGTCGTTTCGTTGTAGGGCGTCAGCTCTAAAATTGTGCAGGCCTCTACAATTTTTAAGGTGTTTTCCTGAAAATGTCCACTTTTTGATGTGTGCCAAATATATAAATATTGACAAAACAACTAAATTCATTTATGGAGTATTCGAAAAGAAGTTTTTCCAGTGCACGAACATAATTTTGTAAAGGAAATGCTGATTAAAATGATGTAAGAGCTATAACAATAATATGCTTTCTGTTTATGAGTATTAATCGAGTGCACACAGCAATGTTAGGATACAAGAGGTAGTTCAAGATAAGTGGCAGAAATATTATCCTTCTCCATGAATATGATTTATTGATGCATCATCTGTTTTATCATGCCGCAAAATACGTAATAAAGTATAATATGCGTTGTTGAGTATTAATGTTGTGTCCGATGTTTTCATTAATTAGAGCATCATACTTACGAAAAGTTCGTATTTGAATGTATTGCAATAATCAGTGTTTATAGTAATATCTGTATCGCAAATTCAAATTTAACACAAAATAGTGTAGTAACACAGAAACAGTTCAAAATATTTTCCCTTATTACTAAGACGAAATTTTTAGTAAAAACCAACAGAGAGTATAATACAACCACAGGATAATTAAAAGAGGCAATCTAAGTTAAAGCCTTCAATATTTTAAATTACCAAATATAAATAAAATTGGCAATGTAGTAGTTTCATTTTAATGTTTTATGATTAAACATAACATGTAAATTGTCTGTTGTAAAATTGGGATTAGTAAATGGCATGGCATTTATTTTTTTAATTTGAAAAAATGTATTTCTTTCTTTATTCATTTAAAAAATAACTACTGTTGTTTCATCAGATTTTCGAAATAACTAACTATATGATAATACACACATGACACTATTACGTCTGCGTTACTCAAGCGTGAATGCTTCTTGGCAAAAACAATTTCTCCAAAACATTAGCAGCATTTTTCGAAATACGGTTCTCAACAACCATTTAGTGTAACGCATTGTGCATGTTTACATATTTACACATGTCCTATCCGGTTCTATCGCGTAGGGCTCTAACGATTTGGCCACGGCGCTTCGAGGTTCAGACACAGGAGAAGGGAGAAGGGAGAAGGGAGGAGGGAGGAGGCGTTAGGAGGAAATAGGAGGAAAAAAACAAGCGTCTGGCGAAGGTGATGTGGCCGAGTGGACGCCGTTGGCCGCGTGGAAGTGGACCACACGATGCTGGTGGCGAGCCTGTTCTGGGGGCTTTTGGCGGGGGCCATTGCGGAGGCCTCAATAGCGTGCCCGAAATCAAGTTCTCCCGGACGTAGTTCGCGACGCCGTCGCTATCTTGTTTTTCCACAAGGAAGCGCCATTCAGGTAAACATTGTTTAGTTTGTTTTACGGAATAGGTGGATTTTAAATTCCGAAAATAATTATAAATGTAACTATTATCTATTAAGTTATCCTCTTTTAATACCTGGAAGGTAAATCATGATATTTTTCTTTAACAATGGATAGTTTGGGGTAAAAGTAAATAATTAATAATTACAGTCAAATGGTACAACTATGTTCCAGTAAATACAACTACAGGGCTAACATATTTAAAAGACAATGATGTACTCAATATGTTCACAGGAGAAACTTAATGGATTCCTATAGAAGGATAAGAGAATTATAGGAGTATAAGGGAATTATATTATAGAAGGATAGACGTCGATTGAGACCAATGTCTCTTAAACATGCTAGGTCTATAGTTGTATACCCTAGTACATAGTTGAAACTTTCGACGATATCTCAGTTTTAATAAAATTTTACATTTAACATCTTTCTTGTCAGGATCTGAGTATTGTTTGAAGTGTTTCTGTTTGCAAATCAAATGCAATACAAACGACATAATCGTATACGATAGTATCAATTAATATTCAGTATCATAATCATATTAAAACCTTTTGCAGCTATCAGCTACTTGGACAACTTTCTATGAGGATACGATTCCCACCAGATACGGGCGATGGGGAGTAATTTACGAAGTCATTACTGCATTTGCTGTTCCAAGTGAACTTTACTCTTACAAATATTTTAAAAAATATAGGAAAGAGAATCCCCCTGCATCCATGGAGGTATGTTTATGGAAATGAATGAAACTTTAACGAATGTAACTACTACAATTTATTTTTTTGTAAACGTATGATAGTTTTCTCTTTAATGAAAAAGAAAAAAAAATTAATTAAACGAACATCATTTGTTCGTGAATTACACGTCATTGCCTTTCTTAACATCAGCTAACTGCACCTTAGTTCTTAACGATACACGTCATGTAGTCATGTCGTCAAGTAGTAATAAATGATTAATCATGGTAATCATGGTATTCCTTGCTATTCCACATTAAACAGTTTACAGATATAAATGTAGATAAAAGAAACGTGTAAGTTAATACAATATGTTATGTGCATTTATATTGTTCAAATCACTATTGGAGGAATGTTTCGATCAGCATTAAGAACAAATTTGTATTTTGTAGTTGTTCCTAAATTTGAAATAATTCCTTTCGCAACTGACCTCTATAAGATCAGGAAACGTAGATACTTACAAGAGAAGTGTTTGTTATTCTTTTTTGCAGATGAGTTATGACTATGTTGATCCCCATACGAAATATGAAACATACACGCAACCCCTTTCAGAGAAAACTTATTTTTTGAATCCTAAAAGAAAATACATCCAATCGTATGGCAGATATCGGAGATCAACTCAAGATCGAAAAAACCTATACCAGGAGTTGGAACATCAGTTTAATCAGTATGTAAAAATTTCATTTTCGTTAAAATGTTTATAGTTTAATTGGTAGAGTTTTGATTACTATTTGTTCACTAACATGACAGTGTACTGATATTTATCATGAACTCATAGTTATCAGATTGTATTAGTAGACATATTACTGCCAGCAAACGATTTCAAGTCAACGGAAAATAAGTGACAATCACACGAAAATTATTGCAATAACGTATTATTATTATTATTATTATTATTATTATTATTATTATTATTATTCGCGAACGACTGGTCGCTTGCAATCAGGGGTCTGTAGTACAGTGGCCAGATGGACATGCTTTGAATATGTAATGTTCATGAATTTAAATTAAAAATTCTTAATGGATATTTGTGTATGGAAATTGACAAACTCTATTCAAATGCAAATATGTACGAAAGATTGGTGCAAATGAGTACGAAATTGAATAATTTCAATTGATGAAAAATAATAATTACACCAAATGGTTACTCATCCAAATGCCAGCGAAGAATGGAACTGATTAATCCATTTGCTAACATTATTACCAATCCGATGATTATTTTCGTATTTAAATCAAGTTATTCACGTACATTTCGTATTTTAACGTTTTTACAAGTTTTATGGGATGGCTTTCATAGAAAATGCAAACTGGCAATTTTTCTTGATATTGTTTACTTTACAAGGTATGACTCTTCAGTTTCTCAGAATATGTGTAATAAATAATTAACGGTTTTCTCAAAATACAAAATGAATGAAATAAATTAATTCAGCTCTTTCAACTTCTCACAAAAACCCAGGCCAGTGTTCCACATGCATGTGTTTTATCTCCCTCATTGTTTAGCATTTTTGGGCATATAATATGTAACAGGTAGTGAAATAATCTATCAGACCATCAAACTCTAAATGAAATTCCTCTGTTTACACGAAGATATTATTATTGCGTGAATAATCTCCTGAAATATTTCAATGAGTATATACGAGTAGAATGGGAAAAAAAAATTGCCGAATTAAATTGAACAGAATTTCGAAGCCAAAGTTTTTACGTTCTGTAGGCTTCACATTCTCTCGAATTTACAAACATATTCTGCAGTACATTTAGGTAGGTTGACGTGGAAAGAAAGCATTTTTTAAAATGTAAATAAACCGTACGTAAAATTATCTCTTCCTACTACATAAATCTATTATTGTACTACCTCTAAATTTTGCTTGCCCATTATGAAGAAATGATGCAATCAGTTCCATCATCATTAGTTGTATACATCATGCTATAGAGAAAGTTATATAATGCAGCGATAAGAGAACATTTTTCGTCAAAAACGTTTCCTGTGAAAAAAATGTAGATTCTTGATACCGAAAAAAGGAATAATTATTGTTCCCATATGTAAATTAGTTCCTTTAAACATTGTGTAGTCATATTCCAAGTTTTGTGAGTCCTTGAAATCGAAAAAATGGTTTACAG